AACATGGTTTCACTAAGTGAAAATTTTGCCTCGCAAATCTTTTGACATTCTTTGAAAAGGTTACTGCTTATGTAGGTGAGAGTAAGGGTATGAATTTGGTTTATCTGGATTTTCAGAAAGCATTTGACAAGGTGTCACATAAAAGGGTTGTAAAAAATTATCTCTTTAGGTGTAGAGGACAAGTTAGCTAATTAGATAAAAGAGTGGCTGGGTGAAAGAAAGTGAAGAGTTGTTAAAAATGGAGTTCGGTCAAAGTGAATTAATGTCACAAGTGGGGGTACTTTATGGTTCAGTCTTAGAACCTTTGATCTTTTGGATTTTTATCAAGGACATAGATGAAGGAAATGGTCAATAAATTACTTAATGCTGATGATATTAAAGTCTTGGATGTTGTTGGCTGTGAGGATGCTGTTGCTGCTTTGCAAAAGGATTTAGATCATTTTATGAGTTGGACAAATAGATGGTAGATGGGTTTTAATTATAATAAATGCAAGATAATTCATGTGGGTTATCATAACTTGAATTATAAGTATAATTTGGATGGGAATAATCTCAACAGTGTTATGAAGGAAAGGTATTTTGGTGTAATAGTCGATCACTGTCTTAAGCTATCTGAGAAGTGTGCTGTTGCTAGTGGTAGGGCAAATAGGATTTTAGGTTGTATGTACAGAAATATTGAATACAAGTCTAAATAGATTATAATTTTATTTTGTAGATCACTGGCTAGGTCCTATTTGGAGTATTGTGTTCATTCTTGGGCTCCTTACCTTAGGAAGGCCATTGAATTGTTGGAAAGGGTTCAGAGGAGAGCTACTAGAACGGTGACTGGGATGGAGAGGTTTAAGATATCTGAAATTGTTTTCTCTTGAAAAAAAGAAGAGTTAGAGGGGATCTAATTGAGGTGTTTCAGATTGTTAAGGGAATTGATAGTGTTGATATATCATCTTTTTACATATTTAATAGTGAGAATCTTAGGGCTAGGGGACATAAACATAAATTTTGGCAGGGTAGGAATCATCTTCAGCTAAGACAGTTTTGTTTTTGTAACAGGATGGTTAGTCTTTTGAATGGGTTGCCTTCAGATGTTGTGGAAGCAATAAATTTAAGTGAGTTTAAGAGAAAGTTTGATAACTATATGAATGATGAGGGCTGGCTTTGAGAGTTTTTGTTTATTTTAGAGAATGGGACTTATGAATGTGTAATTGCATTTAAATAAACTGCATACATCACATCATTAGATAGGGGCAGAAGGTAAGTTTTTTAAGGCAGTAGCAAAAATTTACTACCTGCCTAAAAAATTGATTGCAAATTTATTTCATTCACTAGCTGTTTACGAGTATGAAAATATTTATACATAAAAATGCAAATATTTTAATTGCTGCATTTTCCTGAAACCACTTGTGCTTAACAATTAATGTACCTGGTACAGTAATGTTTATGTATACTAGAGATACTGAATGTGCCTCTAATATTTGTATTTCTTTTTCATTAAGAGTATCATAAACAGAGAAATATCTGTACTAAATATTGCAGAAGAAAACCAGTATTCTGTTAGTTCTTATCTGATTGTATTTTTCAAACTTCAAATACAGTTTACTAGCCCAGTCTCCTTGAAAATTTTATTATCCTAGAATCACAACCAAGCTATTTAAAAGCAATTAAAACTCGTTGTAGTACATCTTGAATACATTTAAAAGATTTGAATAGTTTTGTGTTATGCTGAATAATATGTAAAGGCTTGAAAATTAATCAGTGGCTATAGCACTTGAAATTTGTTTGGTTAAGTAAAAACTGTTGTAACAATCATATATATATATATGTATATAAATCCTTACCCTGTCCTTTCACTTCTTTCATCTAGCTTTTATTTAAATTTTTCATTGGTCATTTAACTTGGCACAGTTTTAAGGAAATATAGTGACAATTTTTACAATCTGTAGTAAGAAGTATCAGTCAAATGAGGAAAAGTGGTCAGATTAAAAAAAAAAAAGCTGGTTTATGTTTATAAGTTGTCTGGCTATATTATGTATGTCCTTGAAAGTGTATTACAATGTTTGTAGCATTTCACTTGTTGAAAAAAATGCAGTTAAGGTAGATTCTTATACACCATAAATGTGAGCTCCCTGGGTATATAATTGGGGTGGTACTAAACTACAAATTGTTGCCTATTAATAAGGAAGCTCTATTAGTAATAAATTCCTGCTACATGAAAAAAAGACATGGAAATAGATGCATTTCTCATTAACTCGTTTATTACTTCTTCTGTTTAACTCCTTAAACCTGAGTGGATTCTTCCAGTATCTGGCCAAAAATCCCAATTTACCCATTAGATGGTGACAGCATCCTATAACATTTGTCTCTTTGGCTGAAAACTAACCCAAACCATGTTATTATCCCTTTTTTATAAGTAGACCGGAAGTTCTGTGAAGCATTGTCATTTGATTTGAAACAAATTTCAGATCAACAAGTTGTATTAGAGACTGAGTTTTCAGTGTTTTCTTGTTAAGTCTAATAATTTGTTTACATCAGTTGTAAAACAAAGATGGGGAGTGGAAAGAGGCTACTAAAAAGTTTTACTGTTGAGCAAGGAATGAGTCTGTTCAATCAGTTAGATGAAGGAGGAGTGATGACGATGATGATTCTGATCTTGAATTTGACTTTGGAAGAGACTCTAGTGATGAACAGATGAGACTCAGAACAGTCACTGAGACCGAGTTCTAGTGCTTATCAATCAAATGATTAGAGGGGGAGTATTGCCCAAACTAGTCCCATCTAGACCTGATCCACCTCCTAGATCTACATCTGCTACCAGAGCCAGAGATAATGATTGGACTGAAGTAGATCTGCAAGGTAGGTCAGCCACAAGTAATGACTTTGAGTTTTTGCCAAAGAACAAGCATGATTCTGGTATACATGCTAACAACAATGATAACTCAACACCTTTTGACTGTTTTAGGGCTTTGTTTATAGAAAATGTAAGTAATGCTCTCATCACTGCTATCAACGAGTACACCAAAGCACAAGTTGTAAAGAAAATGCTTGCTCAGAGATGATCGAGATATTTGATGTTCTTGAGATGACATCAATGGGTAATGACAAATGACCTGGTATTTGAGACTACTACACCACCCACCAGTTTCTCTATACACCCTTCTATCACCAAATGTTCAACAGGGAAAGGTTTGAGGCTATTTACCCAACAATTCTTCATGTGGGTACTTTTGATGCTGAAGAGAAAAACAAGATTATGAAAATTGAAATTCTATAAGCTATGGTGATAATTATTAGGACATCATGAAAATAATTTCAGAAGAATGGGCAAAAAAATATGGGTTTAAATAGTTAATACATACTTTACTTGGATCATGATATAGCTAGCTACAGTATTTGCTCCAGTGTATTTTCACCATAGTAAAAATTTGATAAAGTAATATTTAGCTACCTAATTAATGTATGTTGGTGTGTTCATTTTTAGTTTGGCTTGGAACAGAAATCAGGATGTATTACAAAATTTTAACACAGTTACTTAATTTTACTTTTGATCCATAAAATAAACTTCATACATTGAAATTTCATCATGTTGCTGATGCACTATAGATGTGAGCCTTTTGGATGTCTTTTTGGGGTGGTAATAAAAAAATACAAATTGTTGCCCACTAATCAGGAAACTCTATTAGCAGTAACTTCCTGCTATACAAAAATATGTGAAAATGTTAGCATAAAAGAAAATATATGCTTTCACATGCAGAATGTAACGTATTAGTAAAATACTACTGCATCAAACAAGTAGTAACAAAATGGTACAAGATATTCATGAATGTGCATCAGACAAACTATTCCTCAGGCTTACAATTTGAGAACAAACTTCTGAAAGGAAGTTTATGCTTGTTGCCTATATCATGTTAGTTCCTATTTTCAACCTTATCCTTCTGCCACTCTTAACAAACTTCCTTAGGTAAGTGTAATTTATCTGAGTTCAAAATAAACAAAAATCTGCATGACTTGCTTTCCTCTAGGTTTTAGAAAACCCCTTCAGTTCTTATAATTGAAATGTTTTAAAAATTACACCAGTTAAATTTTACATCACCCAAAATTGTAATATAATCCCTTGTAGTATCTAAGCATTACTCCATACATAACTTAAAATGTTTTAAGGAACAATAAATAGAGAACAGAGAGTCATTTAGCTCATTGAGGTTATACCTCACCCAATACAACACCCAAACAAACACGGAGACTTTATTTGTGTGCATTTTGATGTCATTTAATATGCCAACTTTGTTATTTTTATACTTTTAGGTGCATGTCTACTGGATTATTTGTATAATGAATTACGTCGTGGGTATGTGCTGGAAAATGAAAAACAAAGATACATGGAAAGAAGGGAAAAATTTTATATTTTCATGAAAATACCCAGAGAGATAGAAAAAGTAAGCATTTGAACTTTATAGTAAGTGTTATAAACACAAGATTTAGCTGTGTTTTCAAAAATATGGACTGACCTGTAAACATCAGCATTTACTAGAGCTAAGCAATATATTCCATGAGTTGATATAGTTGATCAGTTACATTAATTAATGTGATGTAAAATAATTCATTAACCCTTTGGAGAT